AATGTTACAATGTGCAAGTAATACTAGTACTTAAAACTTCACCTATCTATTATTATAACATTTCTCTTCTTAATTTGTTTAACTTTATAATACATTATTTTCATACGTATTGCTTAACCATTGATAAAATAGCTCCCATATATTATAATACTCAGATTCTTCCTTTCCTTTAATTGCAAGCGTTAATCTCTTCATTTCTGCACATTGTAACATTTTTTTTAAACCACATTTTCATCTGTGAGGATCTCTCTACCCTTCCAATTTTGTGCAAATACAATTCTAGCAGCAGTTTTTACATGAATTCAACCAACAATTGTGACCCAGTTTCTCATAACAACCAACAGGGATAGCCTTTTTCTTCTTTATTGCTTCATTTTATTATTTTAATGTTAGCGGTTGTGTTACGGCAGAGCAAAAGTTATCTCTTGCATTCATTGACTGATGATAATGATTGTAACCCTTGCTAATGAAAAACGTAGCCCATTTTAAATTAAAAAAAAAGAATACACTTGAGGTTTTGGCTTAACAACCAGCTTTTTTAAAAAAAATCTAGAATAACTTGAATTCATACCCTGTCGTATATTTTCTTTTTATATCAAGTATTTTATAAATTCTTCATTAAACCTTTAAATATCTGGGAATTAATCAAGAAGGTAATAATAGTTCTTGAATGATTTATTTAATCAGCCCTTGTTCCTGTAATAAATGTTGGCCATCTTGTAATAAACCATGTTTTCTTTTTTGTCTTTAGATCAACGAAGAGATCTCCGTCAAACACCTTCCTCCCACTGAACCAGATCCTCACGTTGTGCGTATTGGCTGGTCACTGGATTCATGTAGCACTCAGTTAGGTGAGTAGCTTTAATTGCTAGATCTCGGAGGGCTCAGGGTACATTTTGTTCATTTATTTCACATTCCACCATTCCTATTTTTATAAACAACTCAAGTTGGCGAATATACTAATTTGCTGCACAGCAACAAACCTGTGAGATCAGTTGGGCTGAGAGAGAACAACTGGCTCATAATATCCCAGCCGGTTTTCATGCCTAAACCAGGATTAAAATTCACAATCTCTTGCTGATTGTCCCAGAGTCACCTAGCTGGCTTTCATGCCTAAGGTGGAACTAGAACTCATTGTCTCCTGGCGATTTACCCCAAGTCACCCAGCCAGCTTTCATACTATGCTGGGCTGTCTTTACTTTTAAGTATCTAGTTGAAACAAGAGCTTTTGAACTAGGCAATTTCCCTGCTAAGTAAAACCACACTGGGGATATTAAGAGTGCTCTGCCCCACTAATGCCACCTGGTCTCCCATGGGACGGCTGCTCAGATTAATTATCACCCCCGTTAGGTGAAGAGGCTTTCTCCTATGGCTACGGAGGCACCGCAAAGAAATCCACCAGTTCCAAGTTTGAAAATTACGGTGAGACCTTTTCCGAGAACGACGTCATCACTTGTCTCGTGGTGAGTGCAGCCTGTGCTGTTTCAGAAGCTCTTCCCCCAATAAGGCACCACGATGGCTCAGCGGTTAAGACACTGGGCTTGTCCGCTGGAAAGCCGGCAGCCCAGGTTCGAGACCTGAGTGCTGCTGTGTGACAGGGTGAGCTCCACCTTCTTGCCCCAGCTCCTGCCCACCCAGCCGTTCGAAAGAACACAAATGTGAGTAGCTCAATAGGTACCATTTTGGTGGGAAGGTAACAGTGCTCCACGTTTCACTGCATGCTCTATGCTGCAGCATGATGTCATGCTGGCCACATGACTGCAGAAAGCTCTTCAGTGGCTCAGTGGCCTAGAGCAGGGGTCACCAACTGGTGGTCCGTGAGAAAATTTTTGGGGTCCACAGAAAAATTATTTGCATTTTTTATATGGCATTAAATCAGGGGTCCTCAAACTACGGCCCCTGGGATGGATACGTGCAATGAACGCTTGTGTTGCTGCAGAGAGCCTCCTCCTTCAGGGTCTTTCTGTGTGGGTCGGAGGGGGGCAGAAATTCTGACTTGGGGTCTGCTTCGGCTTCCTGGTGAGGGGCTTTGGGCGAAGGCTGGAGGGAAGCGCCACTGGTGGCAAAGAGCCGGAGGGCCTCGTTCCAGTGGGACTGCATCATGGCCTGGAACTGGATGACCATCTCAGCCCGCCGAGCCTCCAGGCGCCGGTAGCTGGCTTTGCTCTCCCGCAGGTCTTCCCTCTGCTTGGAAAGCCTGTGCTC